CGGCTGCCGCGGGGCATTTCGATTTTGCTGCTGTATCCCAAATTTCAGGGGTCAGTCCCGCGGCAGCCATGCCCGCCCCAGGAGTAGTCTCTCCTCTGCTCCTGCTGGGCACTCTCCTCACACCGTTGTGCAGCATGGCGCCGAAGAAGAAGATCGAGGGCCAGGGCGCACCAGCGGCGAAGAAGTCGAAGGCGGCCCCCGAAGGGGCACGGGCTCGACAAGCAGGAGGCCGACAAGATGAGGGCGTGGCTCAAGTACCAGTCGGAGAAGAAGGACGGCAGCGGGAAACCTACGAGCACAGCAGAATCCGCCAGAGCAGCCCAGGCGCTTTGGAACGGGATGAAGGACCCAGCCAATCGGAAGCGTTTCTTGCAGACCTTCGCGAGTGACAAGGATAAGACACTTGACTGGTTGGCCACCTTCGAAGAGAGATGCACGAATGAAGAGGTGCACGCGCGCTCTGCCAAGAAAGGGTACCGGAATGTATCGCAGGCGCTGGCCCTCAAGAACCTCACCATCAAAGACTTTGCGAACATCCAGGAAGCCACTGCCTTCGTGCAGGAATGGTGGGAGGAGAACAGCGAAGAGCATGGCACCAAAGAAGAATTCCCCATCACGGAAGATGTCAAGGACAGGCCTCTGTGGAAGGAGTGGTACTTCGTCGAGCGCAACATGGACGATGACCAGCTGGTGACGAAGGACTCGCGCACCTTCAAGGGGACGTCCAACCTGAAGAACCTGAAGCAACTCGAAGCTGCAGGCATCAGGATGGCCGAGCTCCCGTCGTCCAGCGCTTCGGGGTCGGGTGGGGGCGGCGAGGTGAAGATCGAGAATCCGCACAGGCCAGAGATCGTGAGTAAGAAGGACGAGATCGCGCGCCGTCCTCGGCAGCCGCCCCCTGCCCTTCCATCTCTGGTGCTCTGCCAGACCCCTCCCAGAGGGGGGCCCTCTCCCCCGCCACGCCCCCGCCGCCCCTCCTGGAGGGGATGGCGATAGAAACTGGTTCGCATCCGTTCTGTCGTGCGTTGTTTGCGTTGAAAAGCATGTCGGCGCATTGCTTGTTTATGATCCCTACCAAGGCAAATGCTGGTCAAGTATCAGAAGGAGCTGAAGTTCCTAAAGCACACGAAGAATCAGTTGCTCGCGAAGGCTGGGGATCAGGATCAGAAGGACCGTCAGAGCTTCCAGAAGTGGGCCAATGAGTGCAAGAAGTGCGTGGACAATGCGGACCAGCACGAGACGGCGATGGAGGTTCTGATTGCGAAAATTGAGGGCGCTGATTCTGTCGGCAAGGACACGGACATGTACGATAAGCTGAAGAATGAGGTCCAGGCCGCCTACAACACACACGAGCACATGTACGAGGGCATTCAGCTCTCGGTCAAGCGCTTCAAGAAGTTCCTCAATTGAGCTGCGGCCCTACATCTACATCTACATATCAGTATTTACATGCATATATGCAGTAGGGTTTGAGATGCTCTGCCTCGTCCGACGACGCGCATGCAGCGCTGCCTTTCCGACGCCCGTGGGAAAACGAGAACTTGCCGCTTCCTCTGCCAGGGGTGCCCCTTCGTGAGGGGCCGCATGTTTCTGGGTTTGCCAGTAAAGAAGCCCCCCTCATCGCAGGGGGGAATGGGGGGAGGGGGGCGGGGGGGAGGGGGGCTTGGCATCATCGGCAGTAACTGCATTGACGGAGGGACTAGCAGGAGGGGAGGGGCATGAAAGGGATTGAAGGAGGGCGCGGAGGAGGGGCGCGGGAAAGGGCAAGGGCTCCTTGCCTCAGCCGCGCATGTTCGCAGCCACTGGCTCAAGGCCGCCGCGCTCGCGCCCGTCTCCCGCGGGCCCCGCGGGATGTTTTCCAGACGGCGGTTGCGTTATGACAGGTTGGGCTTGCCGCTGGAGAGGCGGCTGAGAGCGAACGTGCAGGACCTGATAAGCAGCAACGTGGTCAGCGGGCAGCGCGGCGCTCAGCTGATCAATGACTGCGTCTCTGCATCTGCGACAGGTCTCTCCGACCTGCACACTACGGAGTCAACGTCGGGCATGAAAAACGCTGCCAGGAAGTTCATGCGGGATTTCTTCAGGAAAGGGTGGCCTCCGCTCTATCACTGCCAGGTGAGGGGCTGGGACCCCAAGTCTGAAACAGAACAACTGATGGACTTAGCGATGATGCTTCCTCACGAAATACTTCATCAACTTCATCATTTTGGCGAGCGGAGCGTGCTACTGGAGACGTCGAGTCTCGACGGCGTGTCTCTGCGCCACGTGCAAAGAGCCAGGGCGGAAAGTGGTTGCAACGACCTGGTGGCCCTGGGCGTGTGGCAGGACGGGGTCCCTTGCTTTTGGGACCGATCGATGAGCGCAGAGATCATCAGCCTCATGTTGCCAGGGGCTGCGGGGCGCTGGAAAAACCTGCGGGTCCCAATCACAGCGTTCCTCAAAGAGCACGTGGGCCCCAACACATTTGATGATGTTTTTGCAGTGGTGCAGTGGAGCTTTGTTCACTTGGCTGCGAAGCGCTGGCCGGCGGCACGGCGCGACGGCTCTCCCTTCGGCGCGCAGGACGCATGGAGGAAGCGCCGACAAGTGGCCGCTGCAACCCTACCAATTGGCGGAGTGCTTTGCCAGATCAAAGGGGACTGGAAGATGATGAAGGAGGTGCTCAAGCTACCTGGCTGGCAAGATGACGAAGTATGCTTCCTGAGCAACATCAAGAAGGACGAGGCCATGGGAGCGCAACACATCAGGGGAGGAAGGAAATCCCCTCTGGGAGGGGGTGCGTCGTCGTCGTTTTGCGGCCCCTTCAGGGGGGGTGGAGGAGGAGGGGGAGGAGGGGTGGAGGAGGAGGAGGAGGAGGAGGAGGAGGAGTGTTTTTGGCTACTCCCCGCAGGTGAAATCGCAGACTGGGAGAGACGCGCCGTGGAGAACTCACCGACGCACATGGCCAGAAGTCCTTGCGAAGATTATCGTTTCAGGCGAGCAGGTGTGCCCTCTCTTCCAAGTGCCGTATGCGAACGAGAAGTTGCTGAAGCTAGATTGGTTACACGTTGTTGATCTTGGAGTAGCGGCTGACTTCATAGGGGGTTTGCTATGGTATCTTGTAACGCACAAAAAGGTGGCTGGAACTACCCAGAAAGGCCGCGCCTCCACACTACATGGTCATTTGATGGCGTTCTACGACAGGCAGCCGCCAGGTGAGAAGACCAGCCGCCTATCGAGACTGACGCGGGGCGTTGTGAAAGGAAAAAAAGCAACGACGGCTAAGATGAGGTGCGGCGCGGGGATGCTCAGGCACATGGTTCCGTGGGCATTGGAGATGGCGGAGGCTTTCCTTGATAGGAGGAGTGGCGTCGACGAGCGGGCAGCTGTAGAATCGTCCATTCACGCAGGGATGAAAAGCTTATGTCGGTGTTACGAGGCACTCTCTGACAATCACCCATTTGCTGTGGACATTCTTAGAGAGCATTCGAGTAAGTTTGCCACGCAGACGGCCGCTTTGCAAGACGCGCTTCCCATTTTAAAGTGAAGCCTAAAATGCACATGTTTCTGGAGCTGTGCATGGGCGGCGGTGAACCAGCGAAGCACTGGAACTATAGGGATGAGGATTTCGGTGGATCTGTAGCTGCATTTGGCCGAAGGAGGGGCCAAAGGAGGTCCATGAGAGCGTTTTCGGTGGCATGCATCTCTAAGTTCTGCGGCCAGCCGATTGTGCGCATGCTTTGAAAAGAACGCTTCTGTGTGTATCGTTGTCATTCATTGCTGTCGGCTCAATTATATGTTGGACCCCTCCCAGTGGGGCGAGCGCGAGCATGGGCGCTGAAGCCCCGTTTGCCCCAAAACGGCGGGTCGAACTATTTTCGGCGCGCCCGAACTATAGATCGACCCGCAGAAAAGTATAACCCCCGCATTATAGTTCGACCCCGCACTATAGATCGACCTTGGAGTCTCAAGGGGGGGAGGAGCCCAGAGCGGCCTCCGGCACCGTTTCCGGACAGATCCGCTGGATCCGGTGAATCCGCCGACGAATCCCAAACCGGCGCCCTCGCTTGAGACATCCTCACAAAACCGGCCCCGGGGGAGGTGCCCAGAGGAGCCCAGAGCGGCCTCCGGCACCGTTTCCAGACAGATCCGGACAGATCCGTGATCCGCGCCCGTGGGGGTGCCCAGAGTAGGAATGAGGAGGAGGAGGAGGAGGAGGATGAGGAGGAGGAGGAGGCAGGTAGGAGTAGGAGGTAGGAGGAGGGGGAGGGATAGGAGGAGAGGGGAGGAGGAGAAAAGGGAGGAGGAGGAGGAGGAGGAGGAGGAGGAGGAGGAGAAGATGATGGACAGAAACTCCCGATCAACCGCAGAGCGGCCGGCTAGTATATCATGCGCACGGATGTGGTTGAAACTCGCGATCGTTGATCAGCAGATGCGGGTTCTAAGACGGCGAAAGAGTAGACGCCGCAGCGCGCACACGGGTCAGAGTCGGTCAGATGGCGGGAGGAGAGGGGGAGGAACCCGAAACGCCCCCCTGCGACTGCCTTGTAGAGCAATCTCGCTGCCTCCTGCTCGCCTTCGACGGCGGAGGCCTGTCGGCTTCCCCTCCCTCGTTCCCTTCCCCTCCCCGTTGTCCCCACGTCCCCGGCCTTCTGCCTCGCGGGCTCGGCAGGCCACGCTCTCCGCCTCCGGGTGGCGGCTGACGGGACCCCGAGACAGCTGTGCGAAGGGCGCCCGCGGGACTCACCGACCCGGCCTCGCGCGTACGGCCCCCCGTGGACGACCGAGGGCGGCGCAGCGCAGACGCGTGCCTCGGGCAGGCTGTGGTCTGGCGAGGTCGAGCGCGGCGTCGCGGCGAGCGGCCACGGCGCGTCGGGCCTCCGTCCCTTCTCCCTCGCCCCAGCTCCCCTCCCTTGCCCCCCCCCCCCCAGCCCTCCCGCGCGCGCGGGAGCGGGGGGGGCAGGGACTGCGGAGGAGGGGCGAGGACAGCGACGACGAAGACGACGACCCCCTGCCGGCTGCCTGTCTCCTGCATGTAGTACGCGACGGGCAGCAGAGTCAGCGCCAGGAAGACGGCCACCCTGCGCACGCCCCGGCCGCCGCGGCCAGGGAGGGGAAGACGGCCACTCCTCCCAACGGAGAGAAGTAGAGGTCATAGAAATCCATACGCATCATCCTCACAATTCGCACCTCTACAAGCGAAATCGTTTAGTTAACCGCGCCGAGGGAAGGAATCGAACTGGCAGGACTGTTCAGGAAGCGCCAAGGGCTGCTTAGAAAACGCCAGCGATGGGGGTCGGGTTAGTTTGTCCTCCCTCGAAGAAGAGGGGGGGGGAGAGGATCGACCCAGACCTGGAGGACGCTGACGGCGACAACGAGGAGGAAGTGACGGGGGTGGGATATTCGATGGTCGATGCGTTGGGGTGTGATCTGACGATTCTCGGGCCTTCCAGGGCCACCTGAGGCAAGCGCGCAGCTGGAAGGTAACAGAGGGGGGGGGTCACGCTCCGGATGGACTGGATATTCCCAAGCAGCAGGTGCCACAAGCCAAAATATTAACAGTAGGTGCTTGCATGTGGCTGGGAGGCTGAATTCGTGGGCATGACTGCATATCACCTTGCGCCTACCCGTTCTGATGTACAATCTGATCGAACGAGTGACGAAGTGCTCGCACGTACACACATGTGTATACATACATATGTGTATATATATATAGATACAGATGTATGGTTGCACATGCACGCATTTATGATATCGCGACATACGTCGTAATAAGGGTGTGGACCCAAATGGTATGCGCATCGGAACGAAAGGGGCGGAACTGTCTTACACCATCCGTGGTTGTATCTCTAAAGTGGGCTTCCGCGGTCAGGATTCTTGCTGTTCTGGTATCATCGTCCTCGCCCGCGAACCACCCGCGACCTACCCGCGACCCACCCGCCACCCGCCCGCGACCCACCCGCCAACCACCCACATCGCTTTAACAACAAAATCTGCGCCTGCGGCGGGCTTTGTGTGAGGTGTGGGAATGTCCGCCCCTGCGGCGGGCTTCTTCGAACTTGCTTTCGGGCCTCGCAGACTGCTGACGCTCTTCCCCTCACTCTTGTTCACAACCGCGGAAACTACCTATGTTACTTGAGCATTCCAAGCCTTAACCGCAACCACGGGGGCCACCCGGGCCGTCCTTCTCTCTGAGCCAGGCGCGTCGGCCTCCTGTGTCGAGCCGCCCGCCGTCATCGCGGTGCCTGGCGCGGCTGCGGGGGCGGGGCGGGCGATTGCGACCAGGGTGGCGGGGCGATTTAGACTCGGCGCGATCGGAAACGATATGAGCAATCCAACCGCATGCCGACATTCGGATGATGTTGGCGTGGGTTTCTGACACCGCGTGGTTCCTTCAACCTTGAGCGACCGTCGTTATCCGATAGCGCAACTCATTCGATAACAGCTGGTCACTGTGAGCGTTCAGCCATGCACGCCCGCTCTGGCGTCGCCGCCTCGTCAACACAGCGCGGACCGCTCGCACTCGGAAAGGAGCCCACGCTCAACCCGATCGCGACATTCACGTGGCCTCTTGGGAATGCCAATCTGCCTGCGCTTGGGGGGGATGGGGGGAGAGGGCGCGATGCGGGGCCTGTGGGGCGGCGCGGTGTGGGGGGGGCTCGATTGATGGCCGTCCTCCTCCTTCCCTCCTCCTTCTCCTCCTTCTCATCTCTCCCCACCCTCCTCCAGCCTCGCTTCCTCGTCATCCTTCTTCCCTCCCACCCCTGCCGCACCACCTCCGTCTCCTCTTGCTCCTACTGGCACGCTAAGCGTCGACGGTGGGGGAAGACACTGTGCAGAGGCAGCGGGGCGGAGAAGACCTGCCTCGATGTCCGCTTCCTGATGCCGAATGTAATGTAAAAGCCTGGTGTCGCGAAGATAACCAAACTGGTCCAGGGCAGGGAGGCTGGCATCCTCGTGCAAACTGGTGGAGGAATAGCTCCCCCAAGCCCGCGGGAGACCCGCCATCGGGAGCGCCCCGACGGGGGCGCTCGAGTGAGAGGGGGAGGTCCTGCTCGATCGGCGCTTCGTAGCAGCACCAGGTTCAGAGAACTGCTTGATGCGTGGAGGCTGTCAAGTCCTTCGCTCGAGATTGACTCGCGCCTCTTGGAATCACTGGAGGGCCAAGCTCCGATGTTCAGGAGGGCGCCGTTACAAACAAGTTCTCCCGCGACGCTTCCCGCAACCTTCTGTTCTTTAGTTTAGCTTCCCTCCTCCTTGACACCTCCTCTGGCTATCGGTAGTAGATCGGGGGCCCCCATCAGGTCTGTAGATCGGTTGGGAGGGTCCCTGATTGAGTTCCTCCGAGCGGAAGGTGAGGGTCGTGGAAGGAACGGGCGCGTTTGCAAATTGTCTACGGTGGTGCCAGGGGGGCGGCCACAAGCTGCGCGCCGCGTGGGAATAGTAGTAGTAGTAGTAGTAGTAGTAGTAGTAGTAGTAGTAGTAGTAGTAGTAGTAGTCGTAGTCGTAGTCGTGGTAGTG